CGTGTATGAGTGCTCATTTAGTGCATGCCGTGCTTATTTTCGATAAAGGATTGAATAATGCTATTCATCTATACTACAGATGATTACAAGTTTATGTAGAAGTGAGATAACTAGTTCAAGTGAGGGCACAAGAGGAAATTTCAAGCTCACTTCATTTTGTCTAAAGAAAATAATGTAAAACATTTGAGTATGGCCATAATTAATGGTCAATGTACTGCCACAGTCCATTGGAATAAATCACAATTGACACCTAATTTGTGTCGACAAGAAACCATACTTGCTATAATTGGATGAGTCCCAATTATAGATACTATGTTTCCATGCACAACATGCACATGACGCGATTCACATACTAACTCTATTGCCGATCTCGAGCCATCATAGCTGTCTGGTACCATCAAACATTGGCAACACAACTCGTTTTGGCAAGTAGCCTGACTATACAACCGGAAATTGCAGTGTGTGACAATCACAATTACTATCACTATATTGCATCTCGAAGGGCATACACATGACACGATTTAATGTTCACACATGCTTCAACCAAGTGCCAACGTTTCAAACAATAAAGAATCTTAGTCCTTTTTTGGTGGCCTTAAAATTTAAAAAACATAGTTCTCAATAGTATTTTATGAAGAATGATTGGTTAAAAAATAAGGAAAAATTTTGAGTTTACATGTAAAATATTTTATTGTTTAAATATTCGATTGAAAATGAGTATAAAAAACAAGTTGAAGTGAAGTGAAGGGAGGCTTAATTGTAAACGTTTTACATACGTAACGTTTAGGATCCGTATGATTGCAAAAGTGGAATTTAAGTGGAAAGAAAATGAATTCTAGGGAATTGAATTGCCCATAATTTTTTCCTAAGAATTGTCAATTAATTGTGTTTGATTAATATAATTTTCCACGTAGAAAATATTGAAATTTTGGATCTTTTGATGTTCGTTTAGTTTTGTTTTACATGAAAATTATCCATTAAAGGGATACAATTAGGGATACAATTTATTTCCATTGCTAAAAAAAAACCAAAAAAAATAAAAATGAA